GTCCTTGTCATCGATCTTCCTTTGGTCTAGAAGCTTCTCCAAGCAGGAACTTTGAGTCCAAAGGACACGCTCTGCTCCCTGCGCTGCTTTCTTGGTGGTATGAGGTCCCCCTGTCTCTCTGCTTGCTTCTCTCTTTTATATCTCAAAAGAGATCGGCTCAAAACACAATCCAATCCTGCCTTATTAACATAATGCCACTAATCCCATCTCATTAAACATCACAGAGATAGGATTTACAATACATAGGAAAATCACATCAGATTACAAAATGGTAGACAATAACACAATACTGGGAATCATGGCCTAGCCAAATTGATACACATATTTTTGGGGGACACAATTCAGTCCATGTCAGACACAAACACACATCCCTTCCCACCCTCCCACTTGGGGATGTTTCTTAGAGAAGAGTTAAGCTGGATCCTAAAGGACAGTTGAGATTTAGACAGAGTTGAGGAAGGTAAGAGAATTGGATGGGGGAAACAGCAAATACTAAATGCCTATTATATACTTGGTACTATGTTAGTGCCAGAAATATAATGGTGAGTGAAACAGACCTCATCCTTGCCCTCGTGGAACTTACAGTTTGGTGGGGAGACAGACATAAATAACCACCTATACAAGTGTGTAATTACAATCTGCAATAGGCATAGAAGGAAAAGTACAGGGTAATATGAGAGCCTATGATGAGGGAGCCTCACCTAACCTAGGGAGTGAGGGGAGGCTGCCCCTGGGGAAGGGGCATCTGAGCTTGGATTTGAAGGAAAAGTAGGAGTTAACTAAGGGAAGATGGGGGACACGAGTTAAAAGCACACCAGGGAGAAGGAACAGCAATGCTGGGCAAGACCCTGAGACAGGAGGGAACTTGGGAAGTTTGAGGAACAGAAAAGTCACCAGAAAGCCTGGAATGCAGTGGAATGAGTAGGAGGAGAGGTGAGAAGGAGAGATAGGTGGAGCTGATCTGTAGGACCTTGAGGCCATATTAAGAATTTCGGCCTTTATGGAAAGCAATTGAAAGATTTTAAAGAGAAAAGCTCCAAAATAAGTTTGCCCCCTTTAAATAGATCTCTGCTTGCAACATGAAAAACAATATACTATAAGGTGATAAAAGGGGAAGGAGACAAATTAGCAGCCCTGTACTAGTCCAGGGTAGGAAATGACAGTGGCTGGATTCCATGGCCGCAGAGATGAGCAAAGATAGAGAGATGTGAGCAAATAAGGTGAGTGTGAGGAGTGCAGGAGCCTGGGTGGCAAAAGCCGTTTTCCATCTGCTTTTAACCTGGTGGCTCAGTGGTTAAGCACTCGGTTGCTAACCGAAAGGTTGGCAGTTCAAGCCCACCAACTGCTCTGTGGGAGAAAGATGTGGCAGTCTACTTCCATAGAGATTTACAGCCTTGGAAACCGTATGAGGCAGTTCTACTTTATCCTATAAGGTCACTATGAATAAGAATCAACTCTTCAGCAATGGGTTAACCAGGTTAGCTTATCTTCTCTCTGCCCACTTCCATCAGAGAGTCCTTTCCCACGCCCCAAGAGGGACTGAGCTGTGAACTGCGAAGGGTTAGATTGAGGGAATCTGAGCCTACCCTACCCACTCCTCCCAGGACTCCTTTAGCATATGCTCAGGAACCGATGGTACTGAAGGAGAAGTCCAAGATGCACTGAAGGCATTGGCAAAAAACAAGGCTCCAGGAATTGATGCAATATCAATTGAGATGCTTCAACAAACGGATGCAGCGCTGGAAGTGCTCACTTGTCTATGCCAAGAAATTTGGAAGACAGCTACCTGGCCAACTGACTGGAAGAGATCCATGTTTATGCCTATTCCCAAGAAAGGTGATCCAACCGAATGTGGAGATTATCAAACAATATCATTAATATCACACGCAAGTAAAATTTTGCTGAAGATCATTCAAAAGCGGCTGCAGAAGTATATTGACAGGAACTGCCAGAAATTCAGGCTGGATTCAGAAGAGGACATGGAACGAGGGATATCATTGCTGATGTCAGATGGATCCTGGCTGAAAGCAGAGAATACCAGAAAGATGTTTACTTGTGTTTTATTGATTATGCAAAGGCATTCGACTGTGTGGATCGTAACAAATTATGGATAACACTGTGAAGAATGGAAATTTCAGAACACTTTATTGTGCTCATGAGGAACCTGTACATGGATCAAGAGGCAGTTGTTTGGACAGAACAAGGGGATACTGCGTGGTTTAAAGCCAGGAAAGCGTGCGTTAGGGTTGTATCCTTTCACCATACCTATTCAATCTGTATCCTGAGCAAACAATCTGAGAAGCTGGACTGTATGAAGAAGAATGGGGCATCAGGATTGGAGGAAGACTCATTAACAACCTGCGTTATGCAGATGACCCAACCTTGCTTGCTGAAAGTGAAGAGGACTTGAAGCACTTACTGACGAAGATCAACGACCACAGCCTTCAGTATGGATTACACCTCAACATAAAGAAACAAAAATTCTCACAACTGGACCAATAAGCAACATCATGATAAACGGAGAAATGACTGAAATTGTCAAGGATTTCATTTTACTTGGATCCACAATCAACATCCATGGAAGCAGCAGTCAAGAAATCAAAAGATGCATTGCATTGGGGAAATCTGCTGCAAAGTGTCGAAAAGCAAAGATGTCACCTTGAAGACTAAGGTACACCTGACCCAAGCCATGGTATTTTTGATCACATCATACGCATGTGAAAGCTGGACAGTGAATAAGGAAGCCCAAAGAAGAACTGACGCCTTTGAATTGTGGTGTTGGAGAAGAACATTGAATATACCATGGACTGTCAAAAGAATGAACAAATCTGTCTTGGAAGAAGTACAAGCAGAATGCTCCTTAGAAGGAAGGATGGCGAGACTACGTCTTACATACTTTGGACATGTTGTCAGGAGGGATCAGTCCCTGAAGAAGGACATCATACTTGGTAAAGTACAGGGTCAGCGAAAAAGAGGAAGACCCTCAATGAGATGGATTGACACAGTGGCTGCAACAATGGGCTCAAACATAGCAATGATTGTGAGGATGACACAGGACCAGGCAGTGTTTCGTTCTGTTGTACATAGGGTCACTATGAGTCGGAATCGACTGGATGGCTCGTAACCACAACAACACTAACCTAAAGGTTGGCAGTTAGAACCCATCTAGCGGCTCCACAGAAGAAAGATTACTGTCAAGAAAACCCAATGGAGCAGTTCTACTCTGTTACATGGGGTCACTAGGAATTGAAATAAACTCCACAGCCAACAGGTGTGATGTAGGGAGTGAATCACCCATCTCCCCCAAGGCTGACAGCTCTTTTGCTTCACTCCTCCATTCATTTAATAAATGTTTGATGGCCAGGTTGAAATCTCACCTCAGGCCTTAAACCTGTCTGGGCCCAAAGAGTCTCATCCCTAAATGGGGAAACTTGCTGACATCAGGGGGCTCAGCTCAGTAGGAGGCAGCTGTAGGGTCCTGTTTTTCTCTCTCAGAACACAGCTTCCAAGGACCCTTCTACTCAGCCCCCTCACAGCCAGATCCCTTTCCTAGTCCTGCGAAGGCCTCTCAGGTCAGGAACTCCATCCCCCCAATCACGCGGAAGTAGGCTTGCACTCTTGTCCCCCATGACTCACTCATTCAACAAGGGAGGAGGTTTAGCTGAGCAGAGCTCTATGCTGTTGCTTTATGCTCTTTTACTCTAAATCTCAACTATCCTTTAGGGTCCATAATTCTTACGGGACCAGGGCCGACTTCCCGGAACTTGGCCTCAAGGGAAGTGAAGGGGCTAAGTTTCCTGCCCCACTTTGGGGAGTATACTTAAGAAACACAAAATTTGAAGCTATCAGACCGAGATGCAGTTGGGAAGGGCTCCAGCTCCGCTTTCGGCTCCTATATCCCTCTGCGCGGCCCCGACCCCCGAAGTACAGGCATTACAAGAAGAACGGATCCCGCAACACCCGCAGCAACTGGTGTGAGCTGGACCTGCGCGGGGGCGGGGGGAAGAGCGGACCTCTGTGACGTCACAGGAACACGCCCCTGACGAGAGGACGCTGCGCCTGCGCCAGAACGGCTGCTTCGCTCCGGGAAGTGGAGGGTCTACATCGAGAGTGTCGCTGGGTCTGGGTGCTGGGAAGCAGCAGCGCTCGCGGAGCTTGCCCGTCAGCCCCCGACTGCCATGTCGGCCTTCGACACGAACCCCTTCGCGGACCCAATGGACGTGAACCCCTTCCAGGTAGAGCCCCCAACTGACACCTCTTTCTGGGGCCAAGGGCCGCCGCCCGGGCCTCTTTCGCCGGCGCCCGGAGACGTGGCGTAGGAGGGACGGGCTGTCTGCCCAATGGGAGAGCGAGCTCTGAGGAGTGGCCTATCGTAGCGTTTGGGGGACGAGACTAGCAGCAGGTGGAACCGCGGAGGGGGCGGGGTCTTTTAGCACCCTGAACGTAGCCCCTCTCACTGGGCTCTGTTGGGGAGGGGGACGGGATCAGGCACGGTCGCACCCTCGAGGAGATTCCCCCAGTGTCAGCGAGAGAAGTCACACCACCTGAGGGGAAAATGTTGCTACCGTATCCCGCAGTCTAGAGGAGTCACCTGCCTTGAGTCCCCTTAGGAGAGGGGGTGGCAGCAACACAATGAAGAGATGGAAGCCTCTGATGGAATGGAGAAACCTGGGAAAAGCCCAACTTCCCCGCCCCGCAATAGCGAAACTAACGTATAGCATATAGGAGAGCCCCTGAGAATCGTCAGAAAAGGAAGGCTGGGAGAAGGTGGGAAGGTAGCCCAAGCTGAAAATTGGCCTGGATAAGAATTCCACCCGTTGGTCATGGGTCTAATCTGGAGTGGATTTTGACCAGATAGGAAGAACCCAGATTAGGGAGGGAAGAGAAGTGAGGGGGCTCTGAGAGTCTCAAAGCACAAAGGAATGTTGACCTGACTTGTGTGTGAGACGTATGTGTGTTGACAGGGTAGTTGAGACGCACTGACCTATGAGCTGGTCTGACCTTTTGGACAAATGATCAAGGAAGAGACAGTCTTCCTACTTAAAGCCAAAACTTTTCTGCCTTTGCGCTGAGAGCACAGGGATGTTCTCTTTCCATGAGGAAGGGCTGGGACTCCTATTAGCTCAAAAGCTCCTTATGCCTCTTGTTTCCTGTCTACTCAGAACACTTCTAGGGAAGCTTACTTGTGCTGACCAGTGCTTTATGAGCCCTGATGTTTCTGCTGTCAGGGTGTCACCAGGTACATTATTCTGTACTTCGGTACTTTATTTTGGTCATTGGCAGCTTCAGAGTTTCCTGCAGGTGTAAGGGAAGTGCTTGGAGGGGCTCTTCCTGCGACTCACAGCATGAGCTTTCCCACCTTGAATCCCTCAAAGGGTCAGAGCATAACCTTCCCGATCAAAGACAAAGGAGACTTTAAATAATTATATGCTGTCAGGAGAGTGAAAGCATTTTGCTTCTTTCTTGGACTCAGAGTGACTTATCCAGTGGGAGCCCTCAAGGCAGTTTTTGGTAGCTTGTTCCTTGTAACATCAGGGAATTCTGAGCATTTCTTTTGCAGCTTAATGCTTCTTGACAGAATCTTTGCAAGGACCTTGTCTCTTATGTAAGATGGTCGTCTCTAGTAGCTGTAAAGAAAAAAAAATTGCAGTGTTTTTTGGTAACTGTTTTGCTTTGATTACAAAATTGGTGCATAATACTGGAGTTTGGGTTTTAGTAAGGATATATGTAGTCTTTTGGTGTGTGGGATGTGTGATGATTTACCTTTTTTTTCCTCGTCCTGTCAGAATCAGAAATAAAACGTCTGCTATCTGCTAGGCAGGCAGCCAGCTGTCCAAAGATGCAGAGAGCTTGTCCCCAACGCTGACAGTGGGCAAGATAATTGGACTGAGTTCTGGTCTATATTAGTAGCTACTTGAAAGTCTCAGACCACATCTCCAGCCCCAGAAATGATTGTGCAAACTATGGTAGAAGTAACTTCTGCATTGAAGCAAGACAGCCTGTCTGTCAGGCAGCCCCAGGATATGGCAGGACAGGAAGCAGCTGTGGTCCTATAAACAGCAGCAACTGGTGGGGAATCCTGTGTGGGAAGAAGCGAGCTGGTGACTCTGACCCTCCTTACCCTGGGCTGGGTTTTTCCTCTTCGCACATGGTTGTGTGGGGGAAGCAGCTTTGGACGTGAAGCCCCCGAGCTTTTTCTCCTGGTCAGAGCTGCCCTCCCTCTCCTTGAGATGGTAGTATCTACTTCCCCGACTGCCAGGGCTGGGTCTTTGGGAGGGTGCAGCCCTGGGTGACTGGGTGTGAGCCCAGCTTCATTTACCCAGGGTGTTGGCACAGAGCTCAGGAGACAGCAGGTAGAGAGCCAATAGGCTTAGAAACTGTCACACTGAGTCAGCCTTCGTAGCAAAGTCGTTTTTTTCTTCACCCCATGAAATGGTGGGTTACAGAAATATACATAGCATTCAGAGTCCATGGTTGACTGTTAGAGCTAGGAACGGCCTCAGAAACCTATTCTAACCCCTACTGTTTAGAGATGAGGAAACCAAGACCCCAGTGAGGTGGCACCTGCCAAAGTCACCAGTTTATTTGCATCAGGAAAGGGCCTAGACTTGGGTCTCATTCCCAGGACAGAGTTGTTTTAGAGGTTTTTGAAGCTCATACATTGGTATTAAACTGCCTTGGGGTTAGGCCAGCTAAGGAAAAAATGCAACATCATCATCCTCACCATTGTTGAAATGAGAGTACTGGTAGTGATAAAAGTAAATTAGTATTAGCTAGGCTATTTTTTTCCCTAGTGTGTAGGGATAGAATAATAGAGGCTTTGTTGTGCTTTTTAAGACAACACTTTAAAGCAGCATGTGCCACATTATGTTCTGAGTAACACCAGTCCTGAAATGCACTCAGGGGTCTGTGGTCAAGTAAGTTTGGGAATTACTACCTATTCCATTTTTCTTGAAGATTGACAAAGCCTACTGGTTTGTTAAAGGTTCTGAGAAATCCTACAATGAAGAACATTTGTTCAGCTGTATTTGACCTAGCATTTCTCAAAGTTATTCAGCCATGGAACCCTTTTTCTGCTAACTTTTGTAATATCCTGTAAAACTCTTACCAGGATAGGGAAATCAACTTAAATGCATCCATGGAGTTTAAACCACCAGCTGCTCCACAGGAGAAAGATACGGCAGTCTGCTTCCGTAAAGATTTACAGCCTTGGAAACCCTATTGGGGCAGTTCTCTTCTGTCCTGTAGGGTCGCTATAAGTCAGAATCGACTGGATGTCAGTAGATTTGGTTTGGTTCTTTACCAGTCCCCTACCCTGCACTGTGGGCGTGTGCTTTTGATGACCTCTTCCCTAGAAATAGGTATAATTGTGATTATTCTAAAATGTCCTGGAAAGTACGGGAACTGTGAATAGAGAGTTAAGTCACGAGAGTGCAGCAGAGGCTTACCAAACTCCTAGGAGGAAGCAGGAAACTCCAGCCACGTGTTGGGATTTCACAGCCTCCCCTGGCACACCCTAATCCCTGTATTAATTAGGGCACATCTGCTTTGTACCTTGAGGATATGTGGATCCCTGCTTTTGTCTGATTTCAGGGTTCCTGAAACTATTTTCATTAAGTCTTGTCAGGTGGTGAAGGGGCTAAGGGTCGCACTGTCCATTTTATTTTTCAGCAGGCCACTAAGAATCAGACCACCTGGGGAAATGCCAGGGCTGCTTTCTTGCTTAGCATTTCTGCACAGTTGTCCCAGGCAGATAGCATTGATCTCAAGGAGAGAGTGGAATACGTGATGGTGCTGAACAGAGAAAGCCTTTCAGTGTTCTTGGGTTGCCAAATCACACAATATCACTTTCACACATTGCTTCCTTGCAGGTAAAAGATAACCTCAGTGGTATGGCTGCTTCCCAAGAATTTAAAACATTTCTCTCACAGAAATGTGATTTGGGTGTGACAAAGTTACACGAAATTTCCTGCACAAACACCCAAAAAACTAAACCAAAACAGTTGCCATCGAGTTAATTCCGACTCATGGCGATGCCATGTGTGTCAGAGTAGAACTGGCTTCTTAGGGTTTTCAGTAGCTGATTTTTTGGAAGAAGCTCACCAGGCCTTTCTTCTGAGGCACTTCTGAGTTGGTCTGAACCACCAACCTTTCAGTTAGTAGTCAAGCACTTAAACATTTGTTTTGCCCAGGAACTTCTGCACAGACATTCCAGTCCTCACCATTTCCCAGAGAGGGTCAGCTCCAGCCTGATTATAGCTTTGAGAATTCTCAAAACTGCTGGATGGACCTGGTATAGAACTTTTCCCGTGAGCAGGAGCATTGTCTCAAGGAATTTGAAAATGGAAGGTTCTTATAGTTTAACTCTGACTACAGACAGCTGCCCCAGTGGGGTCTTCCTGCCTTTCACCCCTCATCTTTGGGTAGGGGCGTTAGGGTTGGCACCTGGAGCCAGGCTAGTGTTAGGAAGCATTGGCTAAAGACAGGTGACCTGTGACTCTACACTTCCATTAAGTTTCCTTTGGAGCCACTTGGTGTAGGATAATCTTGTGTTCAGAGAAATGGTAATATTTAACTAGGACAAAGAAGGGCTATTGCCACCCACCCAGAGAAGAGTGCCATGCACTTTAGCAAGGCGTGACCCTTCCAGCAAGTGCCCTTTTGATATGCTCACACGTTTAGTGTGCATCACTGAGCACCTCCGCTCCGCGGTGCTGTGTGTGTGTGGCGGGGTGGGGGTGGGGGTAGGTGGTGAAGGTGAATGGGCACAGTATGTGGTCAGTGGCCTGCCAGAGCTTCTAATCTGGCAGGAGAGCTAAGGAATGCTTGCTGATAAATGACACCACATTGTGGGTAAGATAAGAGCAGTCAGAAGTTGCCAGAAAGAACTGTGAGGGATCTGAGGAGGAAGGGCAGAGCCCTGTGGTGGAAAGGGCTTGGGCTGAGAGCAGAAAGCCTGGCAGGTGGGAAGAGAGGCTATTTCGGGTGAAGGAGCACCAAGAACCAAAAGTCACTTCTCCATGTTGTCATCCCTGAATGCCCATGTTCCACCTGTCGCCTCCACGGCCTCTCCTGCTGTCCCAGGCACCTCCTCATTCTCAGACGCAGTGGTCTCTTTGGGAGCCATGAGCCTGGGATATGTCTGCTGCTTGCAGCAAACACACACGCTTGTTTGAAATGCTCACCATCCTTGACTGTTTTAACATCAAGGACTCCCAGCCTGTTTTCACTTCCT